AACCTGAAGTTGGCTTCTGTGACTGCCCTGGAATAGAAATTGACACTTCTGTACATTAAGACTGTTTATATATATCTACTTCCATCACGCTTGGTCAACCTAGCATCTCTTCTGATCAACAGTTAGCCGTTGGTCCCAAGCTAGTATTTCCAAGAATAATGGTAAATCACACGAGTCATATGTTATCTCTACAACGTAGCTTGAAAGAGTGAGTGGAAATCGATTCCTAGCTGAATACGATCCTCCCAAAGAGCCGATGCACAGACGTGTGCAGTACAAAACTTTTAAACTGATTGCTGGCTGCTCTGAGTTGGTTTTAATTTAAGGAAAAACGAACTGCCTGCACCAAAGGAGACACTTCAGGAGCAATACAGGTGCTTACATGTGGGTGTCTGGTACCATTTTTAGAATCCCCAGAGTATCAGACAGCTGAGCAGGGATGGCAGATATCACACTGCAGTATAAGAGATCTGCATGACTCTGAAGTATTACCTAAAGCCCAATCATTACCCTTTTAGCATTCTAGGGGATATTAGCTATTTTTGTTTAACTACTTGAGTTACTTCCTTAACTTTCATGTAGTTAAGTTTCACAACTTTGCTGAAGCTAACAAAGTTTCTCTAGTTGCTGATATATCCAGCAGCCCTTTACCTAGTACCCTCATATCGAAATGCAGGTCACGAACAACTCACGTAACAAACGGTGCGTATGCGCCACCGTTCAAGGATCACCCTCCCACACAGATTGTGTTTGGAAGCCCTTCTGGGTAGTGCTGTGCTCTCCATCCAGCTAAGAATGTCCCCACCATCCAGGGGTAGATACAAATGGAAAAGACCTGCTGCACTCTTGGGGGTTTCGGCACCTGTGTCAGCCTGTCTGGACACGGCAGTCCTGAAGCCCATGTAGCGTGTTCAAGCATAACATGGCTCGCTCTTTTAACATTCTTCTGGGGCAGCCCAGTGTTGCATCTGTGGTTCCCGGGAAAAGCTGAGAGAGTGCTCTACGGTAGACTTTTGTGCTGAGAGAAATATCAAGTTGAATACCGAATCAGTGGGCATTGAAAGGAGCTAAATGGTTGCAAGCCTATCTTATTTTCAAATCCTTATTTCCTTGCTTTTATCCATACAAAATCTGGTCACTTACCTGCGTGTTTATGCGTGCAAGTATCATAGTAATATGTATTTTACCCTATTTGTCTCAGTATAAGTATGTTTGAGTTTCACAACATGCAGCAGTGTTTATTGCATTATGAAATAAAGGACTCGCAAAAGTTTTGCACATTACACAATTTTTTGTATTTTTTTAAGGTAAATCTGTAATTGCAGCTTGTATTTTTAAAACTTCTGGAATAGTTAGTCCTGGCATTTTCCCTGTCATAGCTCCATAGTTTTCTCATTTTCTGTCTTCTAAGTTGCCAGCTGGCCCACAGAGCAGTAGGATTGTCTGAATTATTTCTCAAAACTTTGCAAGGAATAACTAAGACAGTGGGTTGTTTCAGACAAGGATAAGCCCGGTGGCAAACTCTGCCCATGCACTGGGACACAGTAGGGTAGGGAAGTCTTTCTGAGGGATGGAAAACCACTACTTTGGATTGAAGCTGTACTAAATATAGCAGTGGTGGACCACCCCCCCCCCCCCCCCCACCCCACTTTGCTTCACTTTCTCTTTTAGAGAAATCCATTTTTACCCTAAGTGTGCTCTGATGATCCTTTCTGCATAAAAGATATGATAGTCAGCCTGAGATGTAGTGGTACTTTAGCATGTTCTGTGTCGCTTGTGATCACAAGTGATGGATCTGAAAATAACAGCAGCTTCTCAGCAGAAGCATTACGGATGGTAGGGAGAAAGGAGCTGTGAAAATTCTCCTGAGCACCAACTTGTAATGTGTCCTTTCTTTTTCTTTTGTTTTTTTTTAATGGTGAAATTAAGTGACTCTTGTATTCATTTTCCATTTTTCCAGATATTGAAGACTTACCGCCCACAGTCCAAGAAAAGTTATTTGATGAAGTACTTGATAGAGATGTTCAGAAAGGTAAACACTCTTGAGAATGACTATAATCTTTCCTTAGAGATTTTTTAAAATTTGCCTGAAGTTTTAAATATAAATTTGATGCTTCCAAATTAATTTCCATCTCAAAATTAGAAAGATAATAACCTTTACGTTAACTTTAAAAGGTAGAAAGTGAGAATGGAGACTATAGAAACGAGGAGACAAATGTATCTTTGGATTTAAAGGATTTAAAGATTTTTAAGAGCTTTCCAGTTTTAAGTCTGAGCTCTTCAAAGAAAACTGAACAGTCTTTCCACTTCAGAAATAATCCCCAAAGAAATGATATGATGTTTCCTTTAAGGCTAGTGTATGATGTGTGTTTTTTTTCCTTTTTTTTCTTTGACAATATTTAGCCCAAGGAAGCACTTGCAACCTTTCAAGTTCATCTCTTTTTTTTTTTTTTTTTTTTTTTTGGTAGTATGAGGGAAAGCTTAACTATTTACCTATTTACATAAATAAAGTAGAGATTATACTATTAAGATCTTGTTCAGATTCTCTCGCTGAGAAGACTTCAGATGCTAGTAGGTTTTATAAGAGGTTATTGTCATGTTACAGAGCTAGAAGAGGAATCTCCCATTATTAACTGGTCACTGGAATTGGGTACGCGCTTGGACAGCAGATTATATGCACTTTGGAATCGGACTGCAGGGGACTGCCTGCTTGATTCAGTACTACAAGCCACTTGGGGCATTTACGACAAGGATTCAGTGCTGCGGAAAGCTCTTCACGACAGTTTACATGACTGCTCACATTGGTAAGATACTTTTTGTGTCAGCTTTAAGGGTAGCTTTCTGTGTAGCATCGATTGTAGTATAGAGTAAAAACCCCCTCACAGATTTATGCGGGATAGCGTGGATCAAAAATGTTGAGTCACGGTGTGATTCTTGTAGTCTGTTTCTAATTTATTTTAAATAAAAAATTGCTGTTGTTGGTGGCAGATATGCAGAAGCCTGTTCAAAGATAGTCCGTAATTCTTATATATGCTTCTTGATCTTCTCATTCTAACTGCTTAGTTACAGCTTTGTTCGCTATTGCTCTTTTTCCTCCTCTTTTGTCTGCTGAAGTAATGGCAGTAAAACAGACAGTGTTGACGTTTTAACTAGGGCCGTCACTGGGCCATAGAATTAATTTATCTTTCTGAATTAATTTTTGTTGTTGTACACTAGCAGCCTTTTCCAGTCCTGTGTTTTTGTTTGTCTGTTAGTGGAAAAAGTGTTGCAGCTGGACCCCCAGTGGTCTCCACCAGGTCTCAAGTATGTAATGGAACTAAGCCAAGGTATTGATAAAGGTTAACTTCAGACACAGGAGATGAGATTTCTTACGTTCCTGTAATCAAGGACAAGAGAAACGCTATCAGCAGGCCTAGCAGAGGAGTAGCCTGCCGCCTTTCTGCGTTTGCTGTGCAGGAGGTCAAGGAAAGTTAACTTTAGAGGTACCTATAAATAGCCGTTGTGATTACTGCCCCCGAAATGCTTGCTGTTTGGGGAAAATTCCTAGAATTAGCATCCAGAGCTGGATTCCATGAAGTGGTGCTTCCGTCATTATTCTCCTGAGATCCTGTCTCTGAATGGATCTGTCACGACTTCAGAGTCACTTATAAGGGAATGTACATTTGGACCATGCAGGAATGTCCCTGGCATCACCAGCAGTTCCCCTGAGGCCAGAAAATAAATTTATGATAGATCAGATTTTGTTCTTTATGGTAACAGAAGCCTGCATGGCATACAAAAACACGCGACAAACTGGATTAACCAGTGTTAACTTTTGTTGACTTACTGTATCTAACATAACACTCATTATTTAGAATATGTCAAGTCTTATAAACTCTTTTGATTCTTCTAGACAGAATCTGCATTTTCTTCAGAATATACTTAATATTTATCCCTGTTGGAAGCAGAATTTTTCTTTCTTTCTTTCTTTCTTTCAGTCTGATTCGGATGCTGATTTATAGTTGTTTGAATGTAGTTGTCGACCTTCAGTCTGGAAAATCTGATTTGCTGGTTTGACACAGGAGATGTTGGTAGAGGTTCCAGTACAAACCTACACAGAGCTATATCCTTAATAGGAGCTGCTCTGCCTCCAGAGGCTGTCCGCGATGGAAATTCTTGAGGAATCGACTAGCATGGTCCTGGAGATGATACCTCAGGCTTGAGTATAGCATTCCTGAGTGAGGCTCTGCAAACTCTTCTAGTTAAATTCTGTTATAACCAATCTTTATTCCCCTGGGTGGATCTGGTGTGGGAAGAAGCTGTTACTTTTCAACATTATGGGCTAGGACCTACAGGAGACTGGAAATTACGTTGTCGTTGGTGGCTTTAATGATAGTAGTTGCTGGAGGAATAGGCTCTTAAATGGCACTCACTAGTCTCAACAACAGTACGTTTAAACTTTTATGCAATGGAATTGTTCTTTAGAGCCTTAAAAATGATGCTTAAAAATGGGGATTTTTGTAGGCAGAACTCAAACATTCACATAACTCATGTGATCCTGAGTTTGTTTAGGTACTGACAGTAGTAGAGACAATCTAGTGTCTGGTACTCAGAAAAACTTGCTACTGAAGTTTCCAGAGGCTTTGGCCTGTGGACTCCTTTTTCCACTCACCTTTAAATGTCTTCCCCCCAGCATATTTGGATTTGTCCCTCTTCTCACTCCACGTTTAGCTTTGGGTGGAGAATGGGCACGCTGTGAGTCGACTTCCAGAATTTTCTTACACAGCTATTCGGTGGTCGTCTTTTTTTACACTTTGGTCCTCTTGTGTTACGCTGAAAAGCTTGTTTCAAATGAGCTCCAAGTCTTGAGGCCTTGACTTCTCTGGATGAAGTTATCAAATTAGCCTCCCAAGCAGCATTTGCAGATAACTGTCTCTAGGGCTGACTAACTTGAAGAAAAACTTCTTAAGGAAAACATGTTTGCATTAGACCTTTTTTTTTAACAGCATCGGATTAAACTTCTTTCAGGAGACCTGCCAGTTCATTTAGCACTAGGTGTTCGGTTAGAGATTTCTAGGGGTTTGCTGTGAGTAAGCACATAAGCCTATCAAAATGTGTCTTATGATAGTTCTTTTAAGTGAGTCAGTGGTTTTAGCTGTACCTGGGAAAACCAACCTGATAGGTAATAGCTGTCATATCCACCCAAGATTTTAGGATGATTACATCTTTACTGAAAAATTAGGGAAGGTTTTCCCCCTCCCCAACACACTCAGTGTTATCCTTCTCAGATTTTAGTTGAACTAGTTCATTTCAGTGACTTCTTTTTTAATAAGCTGGATGTGTTCTTTGCATTTGAAATAAAGTTCATTGTTTAAAACTTGGCTGAACACTTTTTAGTAAATCCTTGTTCTGAGTACTAAATTCTGGACTTTCTACAGTGCAGTGACTGGACTGACGTTAAAATTTTAAAAGCCAACATCTTTTTTTTTTTAAATCGAATATAAAGTGAAATGACTGATATGTTAAAAAGGATGAAACACACAGAGTGCACACTAGCATACAAAAAAAATTAATTTAAACAGAAAAATAGAAACCCAATGACTCTAAAACCTTGAGCGTAAATCTGATTAACCACATTTTCCGTATTTGATTCTTATCCATCCTGCTGTATAGCTATTCCATATATTGTGGAATTACCATTCTCTGTGCTCCAAAACCTGATATAAAACAGATTCTGCCTGTTAACCACAGTCTATTTGAAGTTGGTGTGTGAATACACTGGAGTTAATTGGTTCTTGATATGGTCAGAGAAGAAAACACTTGTATTGTCTATGTGAGAAGAATGAGTAGTTTCTCTTGCATAAAACGGAAGGTCTTGATTTTGTTCCCTATAGCTCAACACTTGCATAAACCTCAATAAGGCTTCAAAAAGTTGTTACAAGATGTAGCAAGCTAGCCAGAAGCCTTTTGGGAACCTCTATCAATTACAGTGTGCTTGCTGTGGACATTAGGGATAGCAAGTGGTTTCTTAGATGAGGGTTAGCAAATGGTGTCTCCCTGAAGATTAAAGAAAAAAATAATCCTTTTTCTTGGCATATGCTTTGTTTCCACTTCAGGACAGAAACTGAGATACAGGGTTTCAGCAGGCTGAATACTGCTATCAGACGTGTGTGACTGGGTACATATTTTAATGGAATATTTTACTGCTCTTTCTCACTATTAATATTTTAGGTTCTATACACGCTGGAAAGAGTTGGAATCGTGGTATTCCCAAAGCTTTGGTTTACATTTCTCATTGCGAGAGGAACAGTGGCAGGAAGACTGGGCATTCATACTCTCTCTTGCGAGCCAGGTGAGAAGACTTCTCTCGTAAGCTTGCTGTTAGAAAGGATATTTTAATCCCTCTGAATAGAAATTTCCAAAACTTGGAATGTTGTTGATGAATAAGAATTTTTCTTATAGCAGAAAACATTCCTCTTAAGCTAGCATTCTTAAAAGAGTATTGGGTAGCCTCTTCCTACTGTATTGTAAAATTGTATTTAAAAATTGGTAACTTTTGAGCTTCCTGTTAAGCAGTACAAGGGTGCTAAAAAGAGTCTGGTTCTGTTGGTGTCAGAGTGAAATCTGTAGAGTAAACCGATACGCAATTATCTACTTAATGTTCCCTTCCCTCCTGCAACATTCAGCTCTTAAGAACATACCTGCAAATTTGTAACCTGGAACTATTAAAACTTTAGCAAGCTGACGTTTTGCTACTCCCTTCCAAAATACAAGGAAGTTACATTCCTGTAAGCTTCCAAATATAGCAATACTTCTTAGCTCCTCCTTTAAAGAGCATGCATGATTTTGGCATTATTTTATCATAACTATTTTTGGATGTGCTATTTTAATGTTTTATCATTAAAAGATATTTACCTTAACTTTTCTCAGATGGATGAGTTATTTTTAGTCTAAACATTACGCAGAACTTCACTTCTAACCAAAGAAATGAAATATGATAGATTGACTCTCAGAGATAGGACAAAGAATTAATTATTACAGTCAGATTAAGTTCTTGTGCAAGTTGAAATGTTTGTGCTTATCTCTAACTAATATGTAATAGTCTTCCAATCTTTCATTTTTTCCTACCAAAGCTAGATTGCTTACTCTTAAAAGGGCTTTCTCCCTCAACTTGGAGAATATTTTTCAAATTTAAAAATAAAGAATGAAAAAGTTCTGTTTCAAGTGTTCTCGTTTGTGTTTGGTACAGCCTGGAGCAAGTTTGGAGCAGACACACATTTTTGTACTTGCACATATTCTTAGAAGACCAATTATAGTTTATGGAGTAAAATATTATAAGAGTTTCCGAGGAGAAACATTAGGATATACCCGTTTTCAAGGTAAGTTTCAAGGTAAGATTTTTAAACTTTAGTTTAAAAGTTCAATTTAGAAAAAGTTTTAGCTGTAGAACATAAATTTAAAGGAAGTTGAAAAGAAAGTGATACGTAAGCTACTAGCCCGAAGGGGATGGAATTAGAAGAACAAAACAAAACCCCTCAAAACTTCCAGTTTTTCTTTTCTTAGAAATTGAAAGGTTGATGATTAAAATACAAGGTATGTATAGCAGACATGCTACATGTACCCATACTAAGAGCATTTTTGCTTTCCACTCAACATGCTTTTAATTAGTGACTGACATAAAATGTTCTCTTTAGGGAAAACTTAACAAAAGTTGTGATTTGTACTGCTCTTAAGACACAGGAGGCTTAAGAAAAGATGGAATTTGAAATTGTTTGTCGTAGTTTACAAAATGAACATTTACAGCTGTTAATAGTAAATTATATTTAGCACTTCCTGAAGGAAGCTGTCGAGTGTACTTCCTAAGCTTGGGGGAAGAGACAGGCAAAAGGTGAAAAGGCATTTACATTGGTGTAGGCCCTCAACAGGGTGACAGCAGTATCTGCTGCTGCTATCCTACTTTTTCAGGATGAAGGGCCATGCCTTGTCATTCTGCAGCACTGTGGGAGGTGATTTGTGAAGCGGCCCTTAAGGACAGTGAAAAGCAGTCACCCCTAAAGGTTATGTAAGGACAGGTAGAGAAAGTAGCAGGAGGATGGAGAACGATGAAGTTGGAATAGAGGAAATAGTATTTTTATTACTTTTTTTTTTTGGTACTTGATTAGTGTTGTCAACTTACTTGACTGAATGCTGTAGGGGTTCAAAAGGAAGGAATTCCGTTCATAAACGCTCTACCATTAGTTTATTGTTGGAGGCATAAGATTAGGAAGCTTTATTATGCGTGATTACAAAATATTGGTCAACTGATAATGTAAATCTCATTTTTGGCAAAAACTAAATTCCATGATCTAGTTCTAATTTATCTGATATTTTGTGATTCACAGTTTACAACTAATATGATGTAAATACTGACCTATTTCTCAACTCGTACTGTAATTCTGCATACCTTGATCAGGTTCTTGCTGTTTCTCCTCTTCGTCTTCTGGGCAAGCAGCCCAGCCATCGTTAAGATAAATATGAAGATGTTATTTTGTTTAGTTGACTCCAGTCCAGTTTTGCTCAGACTGGTGTCTGCAGATTTCTAGAGAGGTGTATTCTGTTTTGCAAGCCAAATATATATGTTTGGGCAACTGGCCTGTGTGTTAGATGTTAACGCTTTAATATTTCCATGTCTATAGCAATAAAAAAAAACACAGAGGGGATTGGGAGCATCAGTACATGCTCAACAGTAAACGAAACCGACGTGGAAAGAACTGTTGAGTCAGGGAACTGCAGCTGTGTTTCCGGATGCTGGGGCACGTGCATTTTGCCCACGGTCATATTCCTGGCTTCAAGCATATCTAGGGTCTGCTACCCTACAGTTATTTCCACCTATACATCAGTATGTATTAGTAGACAATTTCTTGAAAGAGATCTAGAAGCCTCTTTTTGTGATTTAGAAAAAAAAAAGTAAAGTAACTCTGGAAGTTGGCAAACGCATAATACGTTGCAGAGCTCTAGGCTGCAGAATCTAAGAAGCTGTTTGGCCTGTAAGTTTGGGGCAGTTGAAAGTCTTTATGGAGGAATGAGGATTTTTTGTTGTTGTTGATATCAGGTGAAATACCTGCTGTGTGTAGTTAAATGTTATCCTTCATTTAAAGTGATAAAAGTTTAGAGTGGGAAAGAACAGTTATTGGATGAACATACAGCTTTTAAAATTAAACAGGAAAAAAGACGACTGACTCGGATATCATCAGATTGGACTTGAGAAACTAAATCTGATGTGGATGGCTTCCAGGATAGGGGTCAGGATAGCCTATATTCTGGCTTTTCTGTGTGGCTTATCTGGGTGTCTACTGTTTTCAAACTACCTTGGCAATTGATAACCAACTCCTCTGACAAAACTTCAAAGCGCTTGGGGGTATTCCTGATAACGCATGAAACGCTCTTCTTGCGCAGCTCATCGCGAAACGTTGAGGGAGAAGGGAAAGTGTGTTACAGCGTTCTGTCTTGGGGAAGTTGTTAGTATAGCATTTTTTTTACTAAAATAAACTGGCCAATCATGAAAAAGTTGGTATAAACGCTTCCAAGAAGTGGCTGCATTTTGATGTAGAGATCGTGTTGAGGCAAACAGGTTAGTTCTGCTCCTGAGGAGTTGTTTTTGAACAGGTCGTGTGCTTACGCGTTGCGTAGTTGTAGGACATTGTCAGATGAAATGTTTGACGTTCATGGAGATCAGACCCTTTGCTTATCTAGTGATTTCTGTAGCCCTGACAACATTGAATAGTGACTGGTGCTAAAATGCACCAGACTGGGACAGAAGGGCATTAGCTGTCTGATGTAAGTCTCTTCTGCAGAGTTGGCGCTATTTGTGAGTGGAAGGTGGGGACCTTTGGTTATATCTCTGAATTTTTTGGAGGAAAGGGGGTGTTTTTTTGGTGACCCCTGGAGGGTACTGGCATTGGTGCTCTCTTGTACGTGTTGGTGGGTCAATGAGTCCTTTCAGAGCTGCGGTTGACCAGGAAGTGAAGCCTTACGAAATCCTGGATTTGATCCAAAAATGTCTTCCAAACTTCTGGAGCAGAACAGGAGATGGAATGATGAATGGCTGGGGCGGGAGGGGGTGGGGGGGGTGGTAGGTGGAGATGAGAGTGGTCCTTTAACATATATTATTACCGAAGACTTGTTTCCGTAATACTTCTCTCTGAGGATTTCTGCTTTTGGTACAGGTGGAGGCAGAAAACATCGCTGAATGTCCTTGTTTTTTTTTGCTTTTGGTATCGGTACTGTAATGCTGCCAAGACACGCTAACGTGCTAAAACATGGTGCTGCTAGCATGTTATTTTTCACTGTAACTTTGAATTTTGACCAAATGTTTGGATTAACTTTCTTTGTCCATATGTAAAGGCTTGAAACTTTTGGAAACACTCACCCCTTGTTCTCTAGCTTTCTCCTTTTCAAACCCAGTTCATTTTGTGTTTAATACTGAATTATAATGAGGCTTAATTGCAATGGAGGATGGGAGGAAAGGGAAGCTAAGATGATGATGCGTGGATTTGTCCTCACGTCTAGGTTTTGTAAAAACCTTTGTGAATCTCAATCTAAAAGAATTGGAAAATATTTAGGTATTTCTTGATTGCTGCTTCAGGAGCATGGGAAAGGGGACAAATAGTTACCAGCGGCTCCCACTAACTTTTGTGGCAGCAAAGGAAAATGGGTTTTAAACTTACACAACTTCCCCACGTACCACCCCCCCCCCACCTCAGATTTCCATTTTAACGTTGCCCTTCAGGGTCCATGAACATTGAGAGAGAAATGAAGTGCTTTGTGTTTTGCTGCAGCGTCTGTTCCTAACTTACTGGCAGCAACTGCACTATGAAAGGTTGCTATGCTACATGTGCACTTAAGTTTATGCATGGCTATTTTTAAACTGTCACAAGGTAAGGCATGCTTTTGCTTGAGTTGTCTTGCAGCAGTGCACACCAAGAATTATGTTCCTAGAAGCAAAGAGTTCTAGTTTTATTTTGAGACTTGCTGCACCTCAAGCAAATTGCTGTCTTTATCCCTAAAAATGGTAGGGAGAAAAACGGCAGTCTCTTTCAGAACCCGGGACATCACTAGTTTGTTCTGTCGGAGCAGAACAGCGTGAGCTCCATGTGCGTAACTGTTGCAACTTAATTTAGTCTGTTAATGCCCAGTTCATGAGAAGACCAATTGTCCCTGGCATGGGACACATACTTAAGTACTGAATGATATTTGGTGCAGTGAATTTCTTTTAATAATAGATTTTGCAAGCAGATGGCAGAATTTTTGGATCTGGTAAAAATAGCTGTAGCTTTTTTTGTTTCTGTGATGCAGAATCTGTATGTGGGGTTTTGGGGGCTGGTGGTTGTTGCTGTTTTAAAAAAAAAAAAAGAAACAAATATGAAAGACTCTTTCAAATTTATTTTTATTAATCAGCGTACTATAGATTTTAGGGGAATGATAATGAGGTAGTGGTTGGAATTATTATCCCATTTTTGTTTAAACTTGTACAGCTGCAGATATATTTTACTAATCTCATAATCTAACCCAGCGATAATTAGCTGCACTGAAAAGTGTGGCCCGTATTAGTGTAGATCAAACCAAATATGTATTAAATGCTTGTAATGTCCTGGTGTTACTGTGTTTAGCGAACAGCAGCAAGTTGATATTTTGTATCAAAATGCTTCATTACTGAAGATCAAAGTTCTGAGTCTTATCCTTTGTTTTAATTTCTTGCAGGTGTATATTTGCCTTTGTTATGGGAACAGAGTTTTTGTTGGAAAAGTCCTATTGCTCTGGGCTACACAAGGGGCCATTTCTCTGCTCTGGTTGCCATGGAGAACGATGGTTATGGCAATCGAGGCGCTGGTGCTAACTTGAACACTGACGATGATGTTACTGTTACTTTTTTACCGTTGGTTGATAGTGAGAGGAAATTATTGCACATTCACTTCCTTTCTGCTCAAGAGGTAAGAAAAATTTGCGTAGCTGATGGCGATTTTCACAGCTGCTTCTAAGCTGTGGCCTTAGCAATCTCTGTACTTCTATATGTTTTTCCATTTCTAAGAATTATAAAGGACTGTGCTGTTCCCTTCCCCCTCACCTGAGCTGATATCTGAAAAATACTTTCCCACAGATTTGATGTTTCTTTATAACCTTGTAAGGTGAATGTAAATGCACTATGTATGTGAATCAAGGTGTACCTTGAAAAGGATCTAGAAATAAGGATTCTGACTTTAATGCCAGGCTGAAATCAGTCTTTCTTTTATGGATGCAACGTAATTGGCTGGTATTTGCAGCATGCTCTGCTTTTTTTTTTTTTTTTGGTGAAACTTTGCTTTTTTCTTCCCTAATAACTCTGATAATGACAGGGAACCACTTCAGTAACATTTATATGTGAGCGAAGGGAGGGAAGGAGTGGAAAGTCTTATGGCCTTTGGACTCTGAAAACCTGAAGCCACTGTGTAAAGCAGCCGTCCTGTAGATGAAGGAGGAAAAATACAGAAATCAAGTTCGGAGAGGGATATTTTTCAGCAAGCCACAATATTAATAATGGCTCACAAGAGGAAGTGTTTTGTGTCAAGTACTGCTAGACTCCTCAAAACTGCTTTGTGAAGCCAGAAGGTTCTTGCAAGACCCATCCTCCTTATGCTGTGCCTACTACAAATAATCAGCTGCTTACAAATAGTTGAAATATAGGAAGGCTATATTGGAAATATTTTGAAGAGTAATTCTGAAACTTTCAAATTTTTCATTGAAGACAGAGTACGCATCAGTTTGGCTTTTATTGATTTTCTTTTTTTGTAGACTGTCAGCTACTGTGAAGCAGTATGCTAATACTATCTACTTTGAAAAGGAACCTTATTACCTAGATATTTCAGAATGTCACAGGTGGCTTCTTTAAAGTTGCTGATAATGTTTCAGTCCTCATTCTGAATTTTTTTTTTTTTTTTCCTCTCCCCAAAGATAGGTAATGAAGAGCAGCAAGAAAAGCTGCTTCGGGAATGGCTGGACTGCTGCGTGACAGAAGGAGGAGTTCTCGTTGCTATGCAGAAAAGCTCTCGTAGGCGCAATCATCCTCTGGTCACCCAAATGGTAGAGAAGTGGCTTGATCGCTACCGACAGATCCGCCCTTGTACATCCCTTTCCGATGGTGAGGAAGATGAGGATGATGACGATGAATGAGGAGGAAATGGAAAAGAAAATTACCAGCGCATAGTGTCTGACCTGGAGTTAGCATTGTGCTATAGCAGTTCGTTGTGGAACGACCTAATTCTAGAAGAAACATGCTGTAAAGGATTTTTCTAACCAGCATGGGGAGAATCTAGACGCTCATCTGCTGCGAGAAGAGAGCTAAATGGGCTGGACTACCATTTGTACAAAAACAAAAAGAAACAAAAAAACAGCTAATTTTATTATCAAGACAGAAAAAACATTTTTCTCTCTGATTGTAAATCTGTCTATAAATGTACCGCATGTGGTTGTGTAAGAGGTTGTGTAATAGGAAAAGTATACCAGCATCTTAATTATCGCAAAGAAATTTTTCAACTAAGGGCACTTACGAAAGCACATATTAGATGGATATCTGTTCCCTTTGAGATTCTTTTACAGTAGTAGAACTTGGTATTCTACATCATCTTTTAGATACTCTGACACATTTCCGTGAAAGGCCCTTTCAATGTGAAATCTCACTAGTGCCCAAGTCAGATTGTGAGGTTTTTTTTTGTTTGCACAAAATATCCACAGCAAGTCATAAGTAAAAATACATTCATTACTTTATTAATATTTTAGTTACTGCTGTGCCCACTATAATAAAATCTAATCTCTACGGAACAAACTGGAAGAGAAGCTAAATTTTTCATTGAGTGAAATGATCTGTTTCCTGAAAAAGTATTTTCTATGTCTTTTTTTTCCTTCTAATAGCTAATAGATTCTTTCAATATGCTTAAGAATATTTATTCAGAGAAGTGACCTAAAATAATAAGGGTTTTATTTCAGTGAGCGAATGCTAAACAAATTTGTGTGAAACTTGAGAACTCAAACATGACTTGAGAATTTCATATTGTCCAAACTCAATCTTGCTGTGATACAAACTCTATCATTTTATCATTTATTCTTTCATCAAGCTAAATGTTGCTGCAAATGAAAAAACACCTTTTTAAAGGGTTGCTCCTTGGTCGTTAAATCTAGTGAGAAAACACATGGCAGTTCTAATTAAAAAGAAGAATCTATGCTAAAGTTGTTTTTAAAGCACTGTGTTATGTATTTCTCAGTATGTAAACCTGGGAATTTCTTGCATGTTGATTGATGTGGCCATACTTAAACTTATGTAAGTTCCTAAGATTGTAAGTTCAGAGTATATTCTCCAGTAGAAATTTTATTATATTTGATAACTTTAGCCATGTAACCTGTAATGGATAAAGTTTATCTAAAGTCTCACTTAAACACTAAAGGTTAATGCCAGTTTTCACATATACAGTGCAATTCAGGTTGTCTTGAAAAGCACTTTTGATGGTGTGGTGGTTGAATAAGGAATTCTGCAGTAGATGAAATTGTTTTACTTAGAATTTGGAAAGAAGCCCCATAGCACATATTTTTATGTAGTTCAGAGCTATGGAAACCCTGAGGAACTTGCTGCTTTTTCTTCCAAATGCTGCTTAGATGGTGTTGAAACGTGCACAAATTCCTACAGAAACTTGGTGACAACACCAAAAGTATAGAAATAATGAAGTACTGTATTAACTTAGCAATTTTCCCATCACAGATTCCATTGAGGTTTATTATGAAATGTTTTCACCTTTTTGGCCATTAGATCTCCTCTGATTGGTGCATGCGCAAATTTTCAGGTAAAAGAATGCATGTTTATCTGCAATATACGTATGATTTACCTGAATTAAATAGGCAAATCGCAGATACTGAAGAGGTTCCTTAAAAGCATATAGTCCTGTTTCAAGTTTACTTTCTAAATTTTTTTTTGATTTTTTTTTTTTTTGGTCCTTCCGATTTCTTCTTACCTTGCAGTGAAATCCTTGTATACTTTGTCTAGTTGATGACTTAAAAAGGAATCCCTGTCGGGGGAACTGAATGCAGAGTAAGCTGGGATGAGAATTTACATTGTGTGAGCTGGTCTGCACCGTCTGCTAGGGTGGGTGTCATCTTCCTGGCATGGTGCGACTGAGACGCTTGAGGGTCCTTGTGGTTCCGGACTGCGCATCCCAACGCAGGAAGTACACGTGCAATGACCAGATTGCTGTAAATTCGTAACCCAGCTTCCCCAGGGCTAACTTCCCTGGGCAGACACTTGTTTAAATAGACAAAAAGATGGGCTCCCACCTTCAGTAGGCTACTTCAAGGGACGTGTCAAAGCCGTGCACAACTTCCCCCCTGGCCCCGCACCCCTTTGGATTTGCAGTAATGTTCCACTCAAGGAAGGAAAGCTTCCTTGGAAAACGGGGAGAAAAACTAATGTGAAAATCTACCTTGAGCCAAATTCTCCTGAGAGCCTGCCTTGCCTTCTCTCTCATTGTGATACGTGGGCAGCCTGTGTTGTGATCCGATTGCCCCCCGTCCCCAGCAAACACTTTATGTGGCAAGTGGACGTTTCCCGTACAGCCAGTTAGAGCTGTTGGTAAGAAGCATGCACCGCGCTCTCTGCTACTCAGCTAGTCCTGGTAGGAGAGGACAGTCCTGGTACTTCAGAGCTGTTGGGCTTGCTCGCGCATTGTTTTGTTCTGATGTGCTGTAAAATGGTATGTTCAGGTTAATGAGCTTCACCGGTCAGTTCGGAGCTGGTGAAGCGTCTCTTTTTCAAAATCGAAGCAACCCAAACCTCATGTACCTGTAGATTAAAGAGATGCAAACCTTTCCTGCTTTGCACTAGCACCGTGGTCAGTGTATGTTAATGGGTACTCTCCTTGAATTGCATACTTGAAAGTTTACAAATACTGATACTAATTTGCAAAAGCTACCTTGCAGCTTGTTGGCAAGTTCTGCTCTATTAGCCAAGTATAGATACAATTTGTTTTCTTGATGGTATTTTCCCTGTACGTCTGCTCGCAGTAGCACGTGCTTTCCTAGCACAGAACTTGGCTTTTCGTTGCTACCGCCTTTACATCTGGTCCTTTTTTCTAGTTTGTTTATGAATTTCTCAGTGAAAAATCTGTTTCTCTTCTGTTTTAAATATATTACAATACAGTAATTCTGGATTCTTCCAGAGTTCCTGCTGCATGGCTTATGGCAAATACCATTAGAATGTGTTTACTCCATTAACAAAGTAGCTTTGCTTGCATTTAGAGACCCTTAAATTTCTTCTCTTTTGTTCTCACCCTCACCCTCTCCCCTCCCTCTCACCCTCTTTTGTTCAGTAACTTTCTTTTACTCCCCCCCTCCTTTTTATTTTTTTACTTTTATTTTGTTTGGAGTGTCCGTCGCCTTCAAGCTGCTTGTTTTAAACTACTCTGGCATCCTTGATCGATGGGAAGACTCCCCGTCTGCCGCAGTATGGTTCCCTGTCAGCAAGTAACAGGCGCAAATCTCGAGCAGCAACTACTTATCTGTGGTTTCCTTGCCCAGTAACTTTTCCATTTGAAAGGTGCAACATCCTGCTTCATGTTGCTTCAATGTATCTTAAGTGTGATGATAGTCTTCCCTTTCTGCTTCCATGTAATCTTCTCTTTGCATATTTTGCTGGTGTTTGCACTACGGACACTTGAAACCTGAAAGCGGAGGGTAACTTTTAAAACTGCCGTCTTGTTACTAAAATGCTTGCTTTAGTCTGTAGCCTTTGGATCTCTTTTTTTTTTTTTTTTTCTTTTTTCCTTGTTGAACTTGTAGCACTTTAGTAGAAAGCTCTCTGCCTACATTTGCATCTGGGAGTTTTGGGTTAGGGGAGGGATTGGATGAGAAATACGGCATTTGCCATTTTCGGTGAGGTTTGGGCTAGGCCTCTTCCTTTGCTGGTGCAGAGTCCACTGCTGGCAGTGGATGCACGAGGAGCCCTGGCGCAACAAGATGCTGCTCCGCAGGAGAGTACTGGCACCCATCTGCGACGCACCTGCTTATTTAAAAACAAATGAAAGTACCAGAGCTAGTTTATTTTTAAAATAATTCTAAACCTTAACATGAATTAAATGTTTTCTCTTGGTTTTTACCGTCATTTCAATGTTTCCCAAATACTCTCTTTGTAACTAACCTGTTTTATCCTCCTGGTTTCTCGTGGTGTTTTTGGATAATCACTGATGTGCTGTGTTGATCATTGACAAAGAATGGTCACTCATCTATGAGATGTGACCTTTTTTAACATGTTTGAAGCTGGTAACTAGTTTTCAGTTTAATTTAAAGCAAACAAAAAATACAGAGTTTTGTAACCTAGACACTTTTTGGTTTCAGCTCTTTTTTAAAGTCCCTTTCCGGACCACGTTCTTTGCCCCATCTAGCGAGGTGGATGCTGGCACTCTTTGAGGCAACTTAAAAGACAGGGTGGAAACAACAGGCCTCTTGGCTAGCGAGGCTCGAAGTTGCTAGCACCTCTTCAGCATGGTTTCAGCTTCGTTCTCTAGCAGTTTGTTAATGCCTCTAACTTAAGCATTCACAAAAAAGTGTGATTGCTGAGGAATAGCTGCCTTCATAGCTTAATGGAAACCGTACTGATCTCTTCCATTTAGGCTCCAAATAATGTTCCACCTGATCTTAAATGTTAGCAAATTACAAATATATTATATTTATAGTGATACTTTTTGCTTACGGATAGCACCGCCAGAGAGTCCAGGGCAGGAAACTAGAGTCGGCAAGTGTTGCCTCAGCAGCGCAGTTTTAAAGCTTGACCTATAAGCAGCGAGCTTGAACTGAGTTTCTGCAGCACTTCTCAAAGCTCGTTGGAGGAAGCCAAGGACGGATCCTCGGCTGACGTAAATCACTGTTTTGTTAAGGTGTCATTGTTGTGTTGACCTTGGCAGCAGGTGGTCCCGTCTGCTGCTGCAGGGGCAAAGCCGTACCGAAGCCAGACTTGGGGCAAGCTTGCGTGCTCGCACCTGGGACGTCGGATGGATCCTGTTTCAGGAGGGCATGGTGTGAGCACAGTTGCGTTTATCTGAGTACGCGTTCTCAATGTCTTCAACTGAAAGCATTACTAAAACTGCATTGAGAGCTCTTCCCTTTCAGAAATTATAGAAATTTTATCACTTTTTATTGAAAACTGCACTGAACGCTAAATGTCCACCTTTACAATAAACAAATACAATAACGGTAACACACTAAAACAAAACATACTTCTGATAGCCATTGGTTTTTTTCTGTTTGGGACAGTTTAAGTTTTTTTTTTTTTTGTCACAGAAACAGGAATGTACCCATACAAAGGCTCAAAATAGGCCATCGTTTTAAAAACAAAAAGGCGATGATTCACAAAAGACTATGAATATAACATGTAACTAGTTGATACAAATCTAATAGGATTTGTTAAAATCAGTCACATCTAATAACACATTTTGAAGTGTTCTTGTATAAAATATCACGTGAAGAAAAGAAGACTTTTATCAATGTCTAAAAAAGTGGGTTTTGTTCATAGACAGTCTGACAAGTTACCATAAAAAGTGTTTCCTGAGACATAAGGAAATGCAACATTATTCTTGAACCCTTTCCAGCTCAAGACTTTTCCACTTGATAAAATAGCTGCAGATTTAAAACTGAGAAAATATATCTGAGTACAAATAGTGTGTGAAATTTAATACTCGTTTTTTTTTTTTCCTTTCCTTTTTTTTTTTTTCTTTGCATCATTGGAGGGCATAAGTAAATGCACAGCTACTTTATTCAGTGTATTGGGCAGAGGCGAGACTGGCAGTTTATGTCTTATTAGTTTGGGAGGGCAGCGGCTGATGCCAGGAGCCTTTTCAGCCCTCCCTGTTCTATGGCTGTACCTCAAACCGACCAGGAGAACGTCTGTTACGTGTCACTGGCCCTACGAGACTGCAAAAGAAAAAAAAAAAAAAGGTTTGTCGTCTTCCATTTCTAAGCCAGTATTGATGCCTCCTGCTAGAAGAGGTAACCAGATACAAGAGTTAAGGAAAGGGCTGAAGCCACATAATGGTTTCCTCTTAAATTTCTAAGTTAACTCCGTAAGGATTGCTTAATGCAATTATTTGAAAACAGGTGCAGAAGCCCTGTTCTTCCCAAGGAATTGAGGGAAAAAATCTATTTTTATTCATGTGATTGATGCACAGATGAAGGAAACTTAACACACAATAACAGAAGTTGATCATTAATGTATCACATCCTAGTTTTCAGCGCTTCAGTAAGCAGATGACTTCTTTAGGGCTTCTCCCCAGTCTTGACTGCTATCACTTTGTCGGTAACACTGGAACATCAATGATGCATCTGTCCAAAATCAACATTACAAATTTTGTATCAAATTTCTTTTTTTTTTTTTTCAAAGTTCATGTATAACTTCTTTTCCAATGTCTCTTGGTCCCAAGTTTATTGAATGATTTTTAAATTATCTGCTATTGCTCGTTGGGATGTTCCCTGTTGTCCCCGTGTTTTGTGGGCTGGTTAGGCGATGGAGCTTGGGAAGGATGTGCCACTGTTGGAAGATTGTGAGTAACAGGGATGCCTCCGGGAATGATGCCCTCCATCGCTGCTGGTATTCCTCCCGGGGCGACGCTGACCATGCCGGGCGGATACCTGGGGGGGGGAAGAGAGAGAGCCAGTGCTCGGCAGAAGAGCACAGCGCTGCCCCGACAGCCCTCTTGGACACTATGGAGAAAACGGGAACAAACGGCTCCTGCGCCTCTGCTGTCCTGCAGTTGTCTATCCTTTCACGTTACAAGGGACAAAGTTAAACTAACACTGCTGTGAGTCAAAAAAAAAATAAATCCCTATTTTTCACTCAGTGTGCATGAACTTCCTCGCCTCCCTCCCTTCCCTGTTGGCAGCTTCTTAATCTTTCCAGTTGTGTAGAAGTATGACCAGTCATGGCAGTAAATGTTGACACTAGCCTTAAAAATGCATCTGTCACATTAAGAACTATTTGAAATAAGCACTGCGGTAGGCTTAATGCCAAAGCTCAAAGTGGAAATTTGCAAGCAAAGGCCTTGCACATACTTTGCAAATAAATATATATGAAAATATATATTATATACATATGATATATATATTTTTTTTTTTTTAAAGCAAACTTTGGCTAAAGAAGACAGCCTTTGCCTGAGGTACTTGAGATGAGCCAATCTCGTTTAGGCTTTAAAAGGAAAAGGAAGGAGGTTTTATTTATATAGATTACTTTTTCATACATTTACAAAAAAAAAGAACCTCCCCCCCCAACACTCCCCCCCCCGCAAACCTCCAGTGATAGAGATGAAGATGACTCTGCAGGCTCTAGTTACTATTAGCAGAGCATTTTATATGAACCTGGTTGCTCTAAGCCTTTATTGCATTGTGTGCTTAAGCTTGAGACTGGTCTCTTAGTACTGAAAGCAGAGACATGCTACCATAAGCAACAATTTCTTGTGACTCAACTGCATGAGGAGATGAGTAATAATTTTCAAATGCAGATAATTTTTCAGATGGAAAACAGCAGCTATAATAAATGCGTAATGGCCAGATACACAGATTCTTCTTTGCAGGAAAATGTCACGCTGCTGTTTTGCCAGCTGCTTACAGGCCCTGAAGGCTCCTGCCGTAGGTAACACCAGACACGAATCCCCTGGGTCTGGGCCACTATCACCTGCGAGACTTGAACTAACTGCAAACGCGCCTCCCAAAGCAGCCCGCGTCACAGGAAGGTAAAGCAGCGCGAGTATTCCTCTGCTGCAGCGGCGTTTGGGTTGGCTGGTTTTCAGCTGCGAGCGGGTGGCGCAGGTCACCAGCGATAGCATCTGAGCCGTTGGCTTCAATAGTCATTAGTGGCCACAGCAGCCAGGAGCCCAGCCAGACCCCTCCTGAACCTGTTTCTGTGTCATTTTCTGTAAACGCTGGCGCAGAATTTACTCTGCATGACAAGGTGGTGGCTGTTGTGGCATCCCCAGCCTTCATGACGCTGCTTTGTTACCTTCTCTTTGCTTTATTTCCCCCTTTTTATCTTCAGGCACAGCAGCCAGGAGCCCAGCCAGACCCCTCCTGAACCTGTTTCTGTGTCATTTTCTGTAAACGCTGGCGCAGAATTTACTCTGCATGACAAGGTGGTGGCTGTTGTGGCATCCCCAGCCTTCATGACGCTGCTTTGTTACCTTCTCTTTGCTTTATTTCCCCCTTTTTATCTTCAGGTCTTTCCTTTTTTTTTTTTT